TTGGGCATCAGTTCGTGGATCCTGCGGATGAAGTCGGACTTCTCGGCGCAGCCCTTGCACGCCTCGCCCCAGTCCTCCAGGATTCGCCGCAGCTCCTTGACGCGCAGCTTGCGCAGGTCGGCGGTGCTCAGGTCGATCTGCTTGTCTGCGGGGAGAGCAGAGCCGCGCTCAGCGGGGACGGGACGGCGGCCACCGCCTCCGCCGCCCCGGGCCGGGGGGAGGCCCAGCCCTTTTTTTTTCGGGGGGGTGCCCGGTGCGTTGTGTGCGGAGACGGCGAGAGCCCGGCGGTGCGGGGTCCGACGGTTGCCGCGGCGGAGACCAGTACGGGAGGCGGGAAAGGCGGAACAGCGGAGGGAAATGCCAGGCTCCCCGGGGATGGAGGGAACGCCTAAGTCAGGGTTCTGACAGCAGGTGAGGTTTTAACGCTAAGCCGTTATTAGAAGCCAGGAAGTTTGGTTGCAGCTTAGATGTCAGAGTTCCACAACAGCCCCTGCAAGCCCCTTTATTATATGAGCAGCCACACTTAAATTCTGTCATCCACTGGATAAATAAAAGGTACTAGAGCGATGTCAGAGGAAAGATAAGCAAGTGACAGCAACAAAGAGCTTTTTAGGAAGCAACAGGACATTGGTACAAGACACAAGAATTATAAAGACCCACAATTCAAGGGGTGTCTCTGGGGAATGTGAGGGCAGAGATACAGGAAAGCAGTCAGGAGGAGGTATTTCCATGACGGTTCTTCATCTTAGGCTTTTTAGGAAGAGCATGTCATCTATAAGCGTGAGAGTTCAAGGAAAATTAAAAGAAACAAGAGTGCTGAACGCTCTGAGTGGACACAGGAGGAGGTGAGAAAGAAGTGTTTAGCAGCCTGCTCCTGGCAAACATAAGAGCAGCTGGGGCTACAGAGCTTAGCTAAGGGCTCAAACCCTGCCTACAAGAGACGTCATCCCAGGCTATGGGACACTCCTGGCTGCTCCCCAGGACAAGCCTCACTGCACACTCTCCTAAATACGATGCACCAAATAGAGATTTAAGCGCAGTAGTGCTGAGATGCCCGGGAGTGACTTATTTCAAGGCAGATCAGTGGCTCTGCAGAAGCTAAAAAGGGTTAGTAGCCAAGAATCTTACCTGAGCATCTCCATAAGACTCTCTACGATGTTCATGGAGAGCAACCCAGGTTGTGCAACCTAATCAGGCTAGCGATCTTGCTACAAAACTTAGTAGGACTGCGTAGATTTAGCATGCTGTTTTACCCCAAGTGATCCACACCCCAGAAGAACACGGGCATTTCCCCTTATGCTGGCAACTCACCGTATTTAAGCTCACAGATCTGACTGTCTTTCTTCTTTAATTTCTCACAGATCTTTTCCACGGGGATGTGATGACTCATGGGCTTTGATACCTCGTTAATGATTTTGGTGGCTGCATCACTTGTGGCCCCAACATAATAGCACTAGAGGGAAGAAAAGGATGAGGTGGGGATGCATGGAAAAATGCTTCTAAAAGGAGTTTTCTATCCAACTTCTCACTTGGTTTTGCAGCTACATGCTTACTGTTATAGAACCTTTCCAAGAGACTGCTACAGGCAAGCAAAAGGAAGCCTAACTCTGAGCCCAGGGTACTGAGCAGACATTTCCCATCACACTGCTCTTAAAGCTGTTGAGGCTGGTTGTCTTGTTTCTCAACTTCTTAAAAAATTAAATTGGATTAAGAATAAAGTCTTCTTCATTCAAGGAGAAAGACTTTCTGAAGCATTCCCCCTCTGCATTTCTGATGGCGTCTCTCTGAAGTTCTCTTCTTAGGATTGAGTTCAGGGCCTTTTCCTTGGGGCTTTTCATTTGGGGATTGCCTTCTGGTTTTAGTTAGGGTAATTTTGTTGTCCTTTATTGAGTTTTCAGCCAAAAAGCATAAATATTTTAACAGCTTACATAGCACCCCAAATACAGTTTAAGGGACAAGTCCTACAGCAAATAAAATCTTTCTAATCTCCAGCACTTCAGTAACAGGGAGAAACAAGGTCAACCAGTCTGGTTTTTTTGTTTGTTTGTTTTGTTTTGTTTTTTTTAAGGTGAAGAGGCTGAACTCCTCAAGTCTTCTCTTATAAAAAATACAGGACCAATTGTGGCCACAGAGCTAGGAAGAACAGCCCCTGGGAAGCCATATCATACAAACTCAGAAACACTAGTTTCCCCCCGCCATTTGCCAAGTACTCTGCAACTTACTCCCTCAAAAGGCAAGTATCATCGGCTACCACTACTTACCAGGCGGTTCTCTTTGCCTTTTGTTTCTTTGCAGGATTTCAAGAGCTCCTTTTCAATACTGGCAGGTGTAAACTCAACATCATTGTCCTTTAGACTCTGGTAGAACCTTCCCAGGAACGTGACACACACTGGAAGGGAAGATGGATGGAGTTATCTGCCACTGCAGTGATCTCATGGCAGCTCTTACAGGGCACTTGTAGGGAAACAGAATGAGGGATTTGGAGAACAGAAGTTCTAGAAGCTGCATTAGCAGTCAGTGACTTCACATGTATTTAAGTCAGTCTTTCAGAGCACATGTGAATTAACAATATGCCCTGGTATTTTTGGTGGGTTTTGACAATCTGAGAAACCAGATCCATGGAAGTGTCCAGTGGCTTCTGTACACTGTCCCGAGTGAGCGGCAGGATTCAGCTGAGGGGTGCAACACAAAACAGTGCCTGTGCAAAAATGTAAACTTTGTCTTATTCTTGCTGCTTTTGGAAGCAACTTCGCAGACCACAGGCCTCAGAACCAGTTCTGATTGAAAACCAACTCTCTCTATGCAATCCCGTTACAGACTCCACGTGTGCTGGTTTTAGTAATATGGTTATCACTGATTATCAAGTTGGTTCAGTTCATACGTAAGTTATTTCAAAGAGAAAAAGAAATTATGTGATCACACCCTGTGTCCACTTGGCACATTTCTCCTCTCTTCACTCCCACAAGCTTCTGAATCTGTTTCAGACTGAAAGAGGGAAGAGTCTTAAAGACAATGAAACTCCCACAAGTGCATCAGTAGTCGAGAGGAGAGATCCAAGTTCCTGCCTGTGGGAAGGGCACGTACAACTTGGTCATTACACTTTCCCTTCGGCAGCAGTTGCTCTGCATACACTCCAGACTACGCATAGCCCACCCACGTGTCGCTGGGGAGGAGGGCAGACAGCTACAGTTACCACAGCACCCAGGGTCTGTGTGACAGGGCAACTGAGAGAGACCCTGTCAGTTTGCCGAGCGTCAGATTTCACTCGTTCTGCTGCTCACACAACTAGCCTGTGAACATCGGCATCGCCTGGACCACGAGCTCTGTGGCCCCACCAATTCCTGCAGTGGGACCTGTGGATTCTCACGACTTCCAGGTGAGACAAGTGCCAGGCACTGGCTGCCTCTAGAGGAAAGGAAAGGTCTTTTTTGTGATTTGTTTACCCCAACAGGAAGGGATCTGCAAATATTATTGTCATTAGCAACTTGTATTCAACTCTGAACACAAGCTGTGGCACAGGAAACGGGTAAATACCGGAAATCATGTACGACCGTCACAAAGCCAAGTAGAAACTTACTCTCATTATATTAAAACTAGAAGTAATTATAAGCTGGGCCATTCAGGAAAACATTTTTTTTGTATGCATACAACACCGTCATTTACCTCACATCAGTTTGTCCCCAGTCACAGACACATACTGAGGTCCACTGTGCGCTGTTTGGAAGTGAAAACCTTTGGAAAGAATAAAGATGCTGCAGGAGGTGGTACCAATGGCTACAGTACAGCAGAAACAAATTTCCAACCTAGTGCTGGGACAGCAGGTGAAAGTTTTGATTTACTATGTTCCCTTCACCTCCTTCTGTCTTACTGTTTCTCTCCCTACAAAAAGGAGGAAGGCGTGAGCATTAGTACCACAAACTCCCAAGCAGTGACTACAGCCCCACCTCAAGTTTTTCTTGTTTCACGTGGGGAATCTGTTGTGTTCCACCATGCAAGAGCAGTTTAAATTGCCGTGTAGCTCAACAGCTTCCACTCCAGAGGCTTTCCTGTTTAGGTAAAGTGCCGAGTTTGACTTAGATCAGCTGAACACTGCTTCTGGCTTTACACACTAAAGAGAGGACACCGAATACAACAGCAGTCGGTGGGCAAAGCCGAGGTGAACGTAACCCTGTGACGAGCAAGGGAGGAGTGCGGGTCAGTAACTGCACTCCCTTCCTCCCGCTTGCCGCCTCGCAGCAGCTCCCTGCTTCGATAGTCACCCGGCTCAGGAGGGCGGCGGGGGAGAGCGCTTCCCC